TGAAGCATGTATATATATATATATATATGTAGACAATGTATATAAGATGAGTCTTTTTTCCATGGAAAAAATGACACTATGTATTGTCTAAAATAACTGTATTGTATTCAAGACAGTTTTTAATTTAGTATCTTCACATTTCCAAAGGTGAGTTCAGATCTCAAATTCAATGTGATTTTTTTCTTATTTGAGTCTTATTTCTTTGTTTACAATATAATTTTTAAGGTTATATATCTCAAGTGTTAATTCATCGCTAACAATTTATGCAAGTCATTAAAGAAAATAATTTTGAAAATTGGTGCTTCTATTTTAGTAAAGAGAAGACTTGGGACAATCTGGATTGACAAAACATCAAAAAATGGTGTTAAAATTGATAATTTGAATTTGGAGACATGAAAAAGATGGGCGCCAGGCCTTTCACAAATGTGTGGCTCACACTTTAAAAAGTCAATAATGTAAACAGTTTTACTTATTTATCATAAGAAATGTTAGTTTATAAAGTATATTAGCCTTCTATATTCAGGGCCTAGGCCTAATACGTCTGCGAGTCCCATCCTTTTTGAGCCCGATAATTTAAAACGATTTTATTTAACGAAAACATTATTACGGAAGAAATAAATAATAATATTTTCAAAAATTTCCATTTATAATAATTTACATTAAACAAATGTGTTAAATATATTTTAAGTGTTAATTAGCTAACAACTTACTCCCCATCAGTGGTCATTGGATAAAACCACTGAATGATGGTCGTGGTTTCGCGCCTCGACTATGGACTAGTCACGTGGAGTTTCCGGGGTTTTCTTCACGTTAGTATCTCCTAAAGAAAGGCCAGTTTCCCATATAAATGCCAGAACAAAATGCTACGAAATAACGTTCAAACAACGGCATTCTTGATGTTCCCGTCAGTGGCCGTTGTTCAGAGGTTTGACACTATTAAAGCTTAGAAGTACAACAAATATAAAATCTGGACTAAACGGTGCACTTCCAAGAAAATAATTTATATTAATCAATATTAAAAATATAAAAATTTGGAGAAAAAATAATTTTAATAATTTTTTAAGCATGACAGGATATTAATAAGAATTTTATTATTTAAAACTTTAATAAAATCTTTTCCGTTTAAATAAGCAAAAATAATGGCGTAATTATTCTGCATTTTTGAATAAATAGCTTTCGTATATTGATAATCTCCTCATTGTGCAAACTGAGAGCAATATCATCACCAATCAATATCTCGTTAACTTCGTTTTATATCGAAATCTCTCCATCTACTTACAATTTATAATTACGAAATATCAATATTTCCCTGGCGTTTAAATAATAATGGTTCACAATATCGTTTAAACGCTTTCTACATTTAAACACGTAATCCTTATACTTTAATTTTAATTTAGGGTATATTAAATTAGAAGGCTGGATGGCCGAGGGAATTAAGATTTGGATTGAAATTATTGGATAAGGCAAGGCAACAAATGGCTGTCTAGCCTGTAAAATCCTTGTAGGAAACATGCCTTTCCGAGAGGCCTTCCAGAAGGACTTTCTATAGGAAACTGCTACGTGAAGTACAGTAAATCCGGAAAACTCCACGTGTTGTATCTGTGATGAGACACGACTGATCATTCTCTCCATTGTAGACCTCACTGAACCCACGATGAATATAAAGAAAAGGCCCTCTTAGGGATCACAGGGCGAAAGGAAAAGAAAGAAGCTATATTAAAATACTATACTTTTCTGTTTAAAAAATATTATAATCAGATTAAATTATTGTTATTATGTTTTAAACGATAAATATTGCTTTTACTAATGAATATTCTAGCATTAAACTTCTGTGTATACCGATTAAACAGCAAAATAATTGATAAGAAAGATGGGAGAAATAAACATCTTTTCTGTTTATTTCTTGAAGAAAACTTATCTTAGATCAATTACTTGTATGGCCTATAAAATAGCTTGGTTGTATAATATCCTTTATAACATTTTCGGATGGGAAATGATTTGTTTAACAGGAAATAAGTTTAATTTCCGGTGGCGGATTATTTTGAAAGCCAATAGGCAACGTCGCGTAAAAATAGTGAAATTTAGACATTTAAATCTTTATCAGTTATTGCAACACATTCCCTAGATTAGTCATAACTATATGTAAAGAGGTTATGTATTTAAAGACATAAAGAAATAGAAATGATATTTCTACTTCAATGCCCATCGTTGCTCCATTGGGTAACATCACAGACACTGACTGTTGGACGTGGATTCTTACCTCATCAATGAGCTGGCCACGAGCGGTTTACCGGGTTTTTTTTATGTGACTAACACCAAAATAGGGGCCAGTTTTCATAGACCTTCCTCTCGAGAGGCACCGCTTTGAAAGATCGCCCTTGTGTTGCGTTGCCTTCCTATTGCGTTGTGATCCTATTATTCTTCCACTAATTTAAATTGAATTTCGCGAAATTTCAGTTTAAATTAGTTGAATAGAATAAGTTTCTTCTATCATTTATTCAAGTTATTGAACTGTATTACTACAAAATTCAATTACTAAGAAGGAAATTTGAAATAAGTACAAAGGATAGTTTCTAAATGTTAATTTTCACTTAAAGATTTTAATCACGTTAAACTTTTTTCTTTATTATCAAAAGCATAATAATACTTTCAATAAATATTATTTTATAATTTAATTTTTAAGTAAAGATTTCCTATAATTCTAAAAAACTAATTCCATAATCATCTATGCCAATTCCAAATTTAATTTCTGAAATCGTAAACATTTGTCGTTTTATTTAAGTAATCAAATTTACGTATCTTTCCAGCAGTTTTATTTCTAATCATTCAATGAAAATATACAGTGGCCCAAAAGTCAGTTAACGATAAAAAATAAAATTCCCGAGATATGGGAGTTTTCTTTTTTAAAAAACGGTTAAAATCGGTTTGGAAGCGATTATATCTCATATAATAATGTGCAATTCTTATAAGTCTATTTTAATGGTTATTAAAATATAACATTTTTGTTTGTATACTCCGAAGAAAATTCTCAGAAATGAAATAAAACCTTAGCATCACCCGCATGAATGTATACCCCGCGCCTATCCGTTCCTCCGTAGGCGTGAGTTCATAATTAAAATTTAAAATCGACATATTAAAGAAAAATTTTACTCTTAATAATGAACATATTAGCAACAAAAATTTTTTATGTAACGATTCAAACAGCGAAAACACATAAGGAAAGGTGAAAGGAATATACTTTTCCTCTTTATTTCTTGAAGAAAACTTAAGAAACTTTCCTTAGATTCGATTATTTGTATGGTCTATAAAATAGATAGATTGTCTGTCGTGTAATTTGGTAGGGCCAGCCTTCCAAATTAACTTCTAATTGACTACTTAGTTACTAACTTTTATTAATTAAGCGACTTTTGAGTTACTCTGTACTTTTCACAACAAACTTTCGTAAATTTTACAGCGCGAATTAAAAAGACAGTTATACTTTTAAATCATATTTTAAAAATTATTAATAAATAAAATTCTAAAACAAAATGGCATTTATTTATTGTGACATTGTCAGAATGCCGAGCTTTAATTTTTAATAATATTTTTAATTTATTTAGTTTAAAATATGTTCTCTCCATCTCAAATTAATAGTGGTTTGCCCCTGTATATAATACTTTTCCTTTAACAATAGAACCGTGCCAGTTATCTATTTGACACCTTTCGGGGGAAATTTTTGAATTGAAATAATGTGATTTCAGGTTATTATCAGAAGCGTGGTCTCTTGCCCCTAAGATTTCCATATCTGCTCTCGTATTTTATTTATCTAACTCCGTTCTCAAGATTAAAGAAAGATAGTTGGACGGACGACAGGGAATTTGTGTGATACTGTTGAAGCGGTGGTTGGTTGCGGGTTCGTGTCTGATTAACAGGCTGGCCGCATGGAATTTTCAAGTTTATAACATCAAAATAGGGGCCAGTTTCTTATAGAAAGTTCTCTCGGGAAGCATCATCGCACATGGCAGATCGTCCATGTGTTTTATTGCCTTATGCCATCAAACCCACTAGACTAAATAATAAAGATTAATTAACAGAAAAATGAATAGAATTCGAAGTTAAATCGTAATGTGTATTTGGCATTTAAGATAGTCTGAAAATGAAAATATTCATTTGAAGTTTATTCATCTCGTCCACATTGTTGAGATAATTAATTTGTCTTTTGTTTATTGTTAAAGGTACAGAATTCTTAATTCTTAATTACGCTTTATTTTATGTAAGTTAATTATGATGCAAATACTTCTCTGAAGGATTATTTTGTGTGATTATAATGAAGCTCTCTATTTACAACAAAACCTACAGCTATTCAAAGACAAAATCATTTTATAAATTTTCTTTTAACTTTTAATGATAATATAAACATTGGACCAATTTAGATTTGTCACTCTAATCTACAATATGTGTGACTTTTCCCCTCTAACAAATAATACTTTTAAAAGCACGAGGCCTTTAATGAATAAAAACACTGAACAAGTGTGAAGTGGATAAAGACACTGAACACTGGTTGCACATTGGCTCCCGGTAATCAGGATGGCCACGTAGAGTTTTCCGAGTTTCTTCAAGTGTCTAACATATAAACAGGGGACAGTTTTCCGTAGAAAAATTCTTCCGAGAGACACTCCCCTTGGCAGATCGCTGAAGGGTAACGTTATTGAATTCCCCAATCCATAGCATGAAGAACCCAAACTGGAGCATATTCATCTTATATATAATCCTGCATAAAACTCAAAAGAATTTATTTAAATTTCTTTAAAAAATGTAATAATTTTATATATTTACATTATATATGTTTAAGAAGCTTCATGCATGATATATTCAAGAGAAATGGTTTTTCATTCTTAGCAGCTTTTATGCAATAATTTGAGTATTACAAATTAATTTAGATTCAGAATTAATATTATTCTAGTATTATATACTATATTAAAATAAAATTTCTTGTGTGTTTTATAATTTTATAATTTCAGATTGGTTTCCTGGCTGGAAACAATATGGCGGATACAATGCCCAACCGAATGATGATGGCTTGGCAAATCAAGACTGTATCGAACTTAGAAACACATTCAGATATCCCAGTAAAGGGGAAGGAGTTACAGATACTTTTTATTGGAATGATAGAGACTGCAATGTCCATAATGCATTTATATGTCAGAAGCCTAGACCGGGAGGTAGAAATAATTTTTAGTTAACATGAGAGATTTAACAAGTATAATAGACTCTCCCATGTGAGAATTTTTCAATAAGACTGTAACATATATGTTTGTACTGTATGTATAAACATGTTTATTTTGATTTTGACGCTTATTTTTGACAATCGTAATTGCAATTCATGTATTGTGTTAAAGTTTGTTTTGTCCTTGATTCGCTGATGAGCTGCTACATCACACCAATGCTTCATCATTATCACATCTACAAGCTTCAAAGCAACCTTACTAAAAAAAAAAAAAAAATGTAACGTACACACTGCAGTAAATAAAAATGAAATTCGGAGTTTCGAAAATTTAACCATTTACCTTTGATCAATATCGGATATGGAGGGCCAGATGTGGGAGAGTCTATTGTATTTCATTCAATTCTCACGTGTAAAATCCGATTTAAATTCACGAATTTTGATTAAAAATGTATATTCTGTGTTTTATTTTAGTATCAATTCTCGAATATGCCAAACCGGATTGTAATAGAACCGTTCGTCTGGATGCTGCAAGAGATAGAGATATGATAACCAGTCCTCTTTATCCGGATAATTATCCCTCTAATGTAAAATGCTTCATACATATTATTGCTCCCGAAGGAAGATTAATCGATTTACAGTTCAACGATTTCATTTTGGAAGATCATGAATCGTAAGTTTTAATCTTCTCTTAATTAGCGGTAGTGTATAACTGTAGACAATCAATAGGTAATTAAATATATTTTGCTTATCGAGGAATAATATTTAAAGCCCGTGAAATAGTATATATTAATTTTAATATAGTTAATTAAATTTAATTATATATAATAGGGTGGGCCAAAAAATTTGTTAACATTATTGTTAAGACTAAATTGTAATTAATTAAGTAAATTAATTAAAAAATATAATTAATGCAGTAGCAATTTTAAATCATATTTTCTACGAATTATATAAAAATACAAACTTTTTCACACGTGAACCTGGAACAGGCAAACGAAAACATGGTTAACTGACTTCGGGTCATGTGTATTTTTTCTATTTACTATTATTTACAAAAGTTAAATCAGTAAAATTAGCAATTAAACGAAATTACAATAATTTTTCCAAACATTTTCATTTATAAAATAAATAAAGCCTATCAAAGTAAAATTTAAATAGTAAAAAAGGAATTGGTAAATCTAGTAATAAGTATTAGACATACCGTGTAACATAACTTCAGTTAAAATTCATAATTATACGAAATTTAGTTACATAATAATTTAAGGTTAGCTTTTTAAAAGATATTATAATGTAATTAAAAAACAATTTTGGAGGAAAGTGCAATCTCTTCCATGTTTTCTAGCAGCTCTATGTTTATATAATTATTTATCTCTCTAAAGAACTTATCTGATAAAATTATCAGACGATCATCACATTCTACATGCATTAAAATTATTAGTTTCGTTACTACATCGACTGTTCAAGTCGCATACATTTGCTCAGTACGTGTGTCTGTCCCTCGTTTGTCGTTAACCTTTTCACTTTATTCCCGTGTGTAGTTTTATTTATTTCTTTGCCATTTTATCAACTGCTTGGCCCAGTTCAACTCGATAAATTTTTATACCAAAAACAAGCAAAACAGATTAATTAATTAAAATTATCATCAGTAGAGGGATTCAAATTTTGGCCTCCCGTAAAAATGCGACAATGAAGGCCTTCCTGTGAACTTTCTCAACGATATTACTCGTTTCCAATATTATGTACTTTAATGTATGATTGTATACTTTATTCCCTAACATTTCGCCACATTTCTTCAAAGAATACAACTGCATAGGGGCCCGAATCGACTGGGGGTCCCTATGTAGTTGTATAGTCTGCATGTAGGTAGTAGCATCGCCACTGATTATTATTGTTATATTTTTAAACGTGTTTTTATAATCTTAGACCAAATTTTTTTTTCCCAATTTTTGGGGTATAAGCGTCTCATTATCACATATAACACTTTTGCTCTTTCTGTTTTACTCGTCTTCACACAAATAAAATAAAATATATTTTAGATGTTTTGATTTCATGGCAAAGGACAATGGTGCGTTATAGCTTCATGGAGCACAAACGAATTTGAATTAGAAGGCCCCATGTACAGTACCTTCACTGCTGTAAAAATTGAAAATATTTGAATCGCCGAAACTTGGTTGGTTTTGGGCAAACCCCCAAATATCGCACATCGGTAGATTCCTCTCGTCGAGAGAAATCAGACAGTGTAAGAGTTATTCAAATCGGAGCACTATTGATCAAGTTATCGCAATTTTTCGTAGGAGCCAAAACACACACTAGCTGTTCAGGTTTTTTTAAATATCTAGTCCATACTCTTACTACAATAAGTTTATAAAAGATTAATTTGGGTGCCCGTTATGGTGAGGGCCCAGACAACTGCCCTTTTTGCCCGTAGAATAACTCGCCGCCGACAAAGAATTAAAATTAATGAAGGTATACTAGTATAGACCTGATTTGTTTTCTTAAATCACTTTGCCATTTTATTGCTTTCTAAGTTATATGAAAAAACAATAAAATGATATAGTTTTAAAGTGTTTTTATATACAGCACATACAGCGCGGCAGGAAAATAATTTCGAAATTTTTAAGCCCTTACTTCTCGTAAACAAAATATTAATTAAAAAAATAAATCTTAGTACAAAGTATTCTCATATTTTATAAATTCTGAATTTTTTTAAAGTTTATTATAAAATATTTTATAAATATTTTTTCTTTTCTTAATTTACTTTTAGATTTATAGTACTTTTTTGGAATATTTGGAATAAGTTGAAGGCTGATTTGTTTTGTTTTTACTTGTATTGCTTTCTAATACTTCAATCTGACTTCTAACAGTCAAAAATAATTATTCCTATTCTTTCAGCTTAAAATAATATTTTTTTATCGTTGTAATGTTATTGTATTTTTGTGTTTGTATGTGTATCTTTCTGCCTTGTGAACACTAATATATCCGGAAAATTACATGAAAAATCAAAAACGAGTTGAGTAATTTTTTCAACAATAAAATTAAAATTGTGTTTGACGCCATCTGATGTAAGATTTTATTTTAAAAAGTTTTTATGTTATTAATTATTATAAGACGGAAAAAAGAGTTTAATTTTGAGAGTAGAGATGAGTTTTATAAAAAGTTCTAAATGCTATTAACGAGGAAAATCTTCCTTAAGTCTGATCCCACTCGAGATATGACACGTTACTCCCTCTATCTCTTCACCCCCTTGATCTCTATGTACCAAAATTTCATATCATCAATCCCCCTAATACACAAACCTCCCTGCAAAATTTCTGAAATTTTCGACAAAAGTCAAGCCCTCTTCTAGACAAAATGGGCTTCCAGTTGGCTTGGGACCCTTTGTATAAAATATTCAAGAAAAATTGTTAATTTTAAGTTTAGAATGCCCAAATAGTGAAAAAAATATTTTTTAGCTGCAATTTGAAAAAAAATTGTAGACGTAAATTCCCACTGTCGCTCGTCCGTCCGTTTGTCTCTCCTTAATCTCGATAACAGAGTTAGAAAGGTTAAAGACGAGACCAGATATGAAAACCTCAGTGGTAGGAGGCCCCGATTAACTCGATTAACTATATATGAACTTCCGGTCTAATCCGGAAGTTATGGTTCGTCAATTCAAAACTTTTCTTCCGAAAGGTGTTAGATAGATTACAGGCACAACTCAACTGTTAAAAGAAAAGTATGATGTACAGGGGCAAGCCATTATTAATTTGAGGCGGCGAACATATATTTTACATTAAAGAAATTAAAAATATGATTAAAAATTGCAGCCACCAATGTTACTCCTAAATTAGCCCACCAGTGACCTAATGGGTAAAACCACTTAACAATGGCCGCAGGTTCGCACACTATCACTGAGCTGGACACGTGGAATTTTCAGGGTTTTTTTTCACATATGTAACATGTAAATAGGATCAGTTTACCAACTCTGATCGTCCACCCTATAGGTTTTCCCTTTGGTAAATGTTATCTATTATCACGTAATAGTTTAAATTTAATTTTAATGGCCGGATAATATTAGCCTGTCTTTCTCGAGGATCCGGATTCGAGTTCGGTTCGATCATCAAAAATTTTCATGACGAGACACATATGGTGACATTCTTCGATTCCGCTCATTCAACTGACCTCCCCATTGAGGGCCATTATGCCAATTTGATATGAATAAAGTCTTTTTAGCTTGTAAGTTGAAGGTCCCAATTAACCACATACGAACTTCCGGTCCGGAACGGAAATCACGTGATTTCAATTCAAAATTATTATATCACTATAAAGTACCTTATTTGTATTGCTGTGAACATTTTCTCATCATCATCATCATCATCCTAGTCTTCATCCTAATAAGTGTTGGGCTTTAGGATCTGTCATGGTCTCTTCTCATTTTTTCAGGGAAGTCCTTATCTATCTCCTTCATCCACTGTTTTATCATATCTGGAACATGGCTCAAATAAACTGTGAGACATAGAAATCTTTTCCTCAAAATATTATTGCTTACTGGGCATTGTGACAATGTCACAATAAATAATCAAGATTGTTTTTTAACTAAAATTGTAATTTATTTTACAGAACTGAAGTGAAATTACTAATAAAATAAATTAATTTCTATTATGATTTTAGTAAACTGAAATTTTAAAATTTAAAAGAAAGGAGGATAAATTTAGCGGATGTAAGAGAATTAAGATGGCGTCAAATGATAACACTTTAACTGATGTTCCACATGATTTGTGCGTCATTTTGATGTCATGATCTGGAAGTATTTTTTGAATTTTATTAGAAATGACAAAAGTAATCCGATATTTTCATGTGTCACAATGCAATCTTCTACATTATAGTTTTCGTCTTTTTATAAGTTTTGGTGGAAAGTAATTCCTTGGTAGAAGCAATGAATAAATCAGAATGAAATTGCTTCGAAACTTTGTTTTTTTTTTCGTTCCTCCTTCCATTTCAAGATATCTTGATGGTTGAAGATTAACGTGGATTGAATTATATATATACCTTTCTTATTGAGGAATTTATTCTTGTTTTATACCTTTGTGAATTACATGAAAGTATGCTGTATTAAGTCGTTTTATATTCTTCTTCTCTCAGTAACGATTTTTTAAAAAATGCTCTTTTAAAGTATAAAATTGTCGAAAATTACATATATTTTAGATTTACGCTTCTATTTTTTATTTAATTTTTTACGTTTAGTGAAATTTTTCCCATTCNAAAAACGATATTTATAGCACCAAAAAGCATTTAACAAGTAGAAAATACAAGATAATTTGGAATAAAATAAAAGATTTTAAAGAAATTTAATAAAATAATTTTAGTTACAGTTACAATTGCCCCTGGAAATGGATAGAGAACAAAGAATTTACGGGAACACAGTATTGATTTTAGTGAGATTGATACTCTGCTAGTAAAAAAAAAAATTGCCATTCTGATTGGATTTATTTTAAAGTAATAAATTCAAGATACTGATACTTCGTTTTCAAAAGCTGTTTCTCTCTTTGGCATAGAGCGATATTGATGTATTAAACTTTCCTAAAAATTCTTAACAAAATCCAGGAGAAACGAGTAAAGTCTCTTCTGTCAGAATCACATAAGTTTCCAAATCATAAGTTACGTGTTAAATTACTTCAAATTTATCTAGACAAG